ACTGAATAACAAATTATCGATCAAAACTGAGTTTAAAATAGGGAACTAATTAATTTGTAGATTTATTATATTTATAACCAAAAAAGTTTGTGTGTATGTACCATTGAAGAAACGCGTAAAAATACAGGATATAAAGTAATACTACATCTTTCATCATTCATATTGTATCTCCAATTTCATATGATGTTCACGTAAACAAAAACAATCAACTTTATTAAAAATTTATAAGCTACTATACTGCTTTACACATTATTCATACGGATCCTTACTTTAACATACTTATAGATTCATATCAAACTTGATGATAGAAAAGAAAATTAGATAGAATTCACTTAGTCAGAAAGAAGAAAAACAAACGATGCTCATTAGTGAATTCTGTTGAATAATTTCAACTCAACATATTTGGCTAAAACTTTTGTTATGATATTCAAGAGTATTAAAGTGCCTTTAGAATTTAATTACTTAACAATGATCTGAGCATACACATTTAATTTAACTAATTTGTATTTAATCTAAAGTTTTACCTCATTTCCGAACAAATGTGTTTTATTGATTATGCGCTTGAAGAAAATTTGAAGCTGTCTTTTCAGAAATAAAGAAATGAGCATTCCTAAGTTTATGATGAATCACAGATTACAGTTGTTGACTAAAATGACAACAAAACTTCCACTTAAAATGAAGCCGAATTAAAAAAGCTCAATATCTAAGATTTCATCGTTATATACATATATGCATAAAAAATAAGAACATTTAATTTCGTTTATTTTCTTTGACTTCTGAATTGATTTCAACCTATTTCCAGTGATTCACCAAGGTGGTTGTAGCAGAAGAGTATAGGATGGGAATGATGACAGTTTCTTATTTCAACAACAACAGTGAAACTGGTTAACGTGTACTATACTGATAGCCTTGAGTAAATCAATAACAATTAAGTGCAACTTAGAAGTCTGCGCGAAATTAAGAGAGCGGTGCAAGATAGCTTATATGGTTAAGGGCATTATGATGTGCGGTGTCCGATATCTGATACTAGTGCACGAAGTGCTACGCTCTGACCCACAAAGTGAATACTTGGGAGATAAGACAAGAGTAGAAGAGTAAGTCTATCGGACTACCGAATAATAAGCATAAATACTCATTAATGTATACGTTTTTACCCCTTAGAAAATCGATCCATTCCTTAGCCAGTGATATGCATTTGACATTCACGGTCATTTTTCGTTATCAAATGGCCTTTTCATTTGGCTACTTCTGATTGATTCACAATATTAAAGGATATTTGTGTGACTAGATAGTATTTGCCCAACATAAATAAACATAAGTAAACAAAATAGTTTATGTCAGATCGTGATGCAAACCCTAACCCTAATACGTGATCCTGATGCATAACTCTAATTTAACTTTTATTAACCGACCTAAACATTTATGTATTATTACTTACGCATAACTTAATCTAGAACCCTTCTAGAGCTAAAGCTAGGATAAAAGAGGAAGGTTGTATATAGGATTAGCAACCCCACCCTGCAGAAAACAACCTTGTTAAAAATCGCAAAGATGCAAAAACCATTTAAACTCTGTCCTGGGAGTTGAATGATCTTCATTTAGAAGAGTTGTGAAGCCTCATAGAGAAAGTCGAGATTCTTTGAGTTACGAGGCCGACGTCCGTTCTGACAACTGGAGCAATAATTAACATAGATATATTGAATGGCTGTAAAATGCGAGAGTCCGAAAGGGCCATTCAGGCATTGAAGTCACACATAGAAGTAACTGCAAAAATTATCCACATTACATTCAGAAAGGTTTTGAAGGAAAAAACAAGTATCAACAGACTACTAGAAAGAATACCTCATCGAAACATTAAAGAAAGGAGATACTAGTACGTGTGAAGGCTAAAGAACCATCACGCTACTTTAAGGGAAAGAGGCGACCTATGCTATGCGAGGACTAATAGATGTATCTTGCGTATACAATTGTTTATAAAAACCTGTGTACTTCTGATGATGGTTGTAGAGTGATTCATTAAGTTTCAGCTCCGTACAGTAGAAATATCTTGGGGTTTGTATTGAAAATCCTGATTTAGGTGTTGGTTGACAATTGTTTTGAGTTCCATATGCTCTTCTATTGTGGGCTTTGCTTTGCCAAACTTTGCCTTTCTATCTATATCAGGTCCTTCTTGTTTATTGATACTGCCCTAGTACGTATGTTTTTATAACTTTCAGTGTTATAACGGAACAGATATTGTAAAAAAACTGTTCTTTTCGAATTATCATTTATTATAAGTCTGCAAATGATTATATATATATATATATATATATATATATATATATATATATATATATATATATATATATATATATATATATATAATTCCATTAGTACAATAATTAAAGGAATTGTAGTCATGAAGTAAAACGCACAAACACACCGACCAGCATTGAGTGTCTTATCTAAATGAATAATAAAATATGGATTACAGTCACACTAATACGATAGGATAGTAATGTCCTTCAATTGGCAGGTCACATACAACAGGGATAGACAAGACCCACTAGACAAGGTTGATGTGGTGGGCGTTCAAGAAGCGATTTGATCGGTTAGTTGTGAACATTAATAATAATAATTATTATTATATACCTTTTACCAGAAGCTTTTGTTTGATACATTAACTTTGTTATTTAGTCTCCCCTATCAACAGAATCGTTCGGCCCATTCATGTATATTTTTTCATTATTTTATGTTGTGGTGTGGTCTGATATGCCTGTTTATAAACTACGTCTTCTTGAAATACAACATTCGTTCATTCATTGAGGCTAGTGACTGACTTCTGAACTGAATACCAAGGTAGAGGAAGAAGCTACGGAATCATGGGCCAATAAGCACTTAGCAGCTTCTCAAAGTTACTAGTGCTGACTGGAAATGTAATTGGCCAACTCAAGGACAATAAGTCATGGAAACCAAGATTCTGATTGGTGGCTTAGTTATGTGATATTAATGAGAGGCCATATGGTATAACAAAGAGCTCCATCAAGTGTGACTGGGTTAGTGCTTCTGTGTTGTATTTCGGGATCTTGTTTTCTCGCTTGTTTATCATGAGGCCTACTGCTGTAGAGCTGTTGCTACACTGGCTATAATCCCTTGCATTTGTCGCTGTGAATGGGTTAGAAGAGATAGGTCATCTGTATTCCAAAGTGTCTGGTCGCATCCAATATGTCCTTTGTGTCCCGTGCTTTCCCTGAGATGTAGAGATCTTCATAATCGAATCGACCAACAGAAGAAAGAGTGAAGGCAAGAGTAAGCAGATTCGTCTGACACTAGTCCTTAATTAGAATGAGTCTGTAGTGGCTGTGCTTCGATAACTAATCACCCTCGAACCGTTATCGTACAATCTTCAACGGTGTTTGAAATCAGAAGCTAAAAAGAAGCAGCTACTACAGTTTACTTAACAGATAATTCAGACCATACAACAGAGGCAAAACGAACGAGTAAGCGAACTACGGTTGTAGCAGTAGCAGTAGTAGTGTAAATGTATATATATATATATATATATATATATATATATATATATATATATATATATATATATATATATATATATATATGAGTTGGATGAGTCATCGAATAGACTAAGCAGCTAATAATGAAGCTAGCAGAATGAATGTATGCGTATGCGCTAAACAATGCTCAAGCATACGTATTTCATACAAGCACAATAATAATACAAATACAACAAGTTATTATAGCATGGATGACTTTGTCCATTAAATACGTTAACAAAAGACCTTGAATGAGCTAAATGAGAATAAACTCAATTGCACGTGAGTCGCTATAAGTCTGTCAGCTGTCTTCCATGCACGACTTAACAGTGTATTCCCTCGTATGATGGTAACAACCTTCGTAGGTATACCGTATTGTCGAAGAAGGTTCCGTAAGGTTCTCCTATCCATGCTGTCAAACGTTTTATCATATTCATGGGAGTTGATGTATAGTGACGAGTTTCATTCAAGTGATTGTTCAACGATGATCCGTAGTGTTGCGATTTGGTTGGTTCACAATCGATCCTTACTGAATCCAGATAATTGATCTTGAAGTTGGGCGTCTACTGAATCTTTTATTCAGTTCAATTGGTGACGAAAATCCTATAGGAGTATAATCATATTTCACATCGCTAATCGAACTTACAATAAGTAAAGTTGACCTTTTTCTCTTACCATAGTGGATAATTTAACATTTATGGGTTAATTAGTCATATCAAACCCATTGAACCGTTGTAATTTTACTGTTTTTTTCACTGTTAATTATTTCATGCCTAAGCGGTGGTACTTGACTATCCAACAAGTCTCTTACGGTCGCCAATACAGTACACTTTTTGCATAAAAAATTAAGAGCTTCAAAGAAAACCAGTAAACATTTGCTCACATGAAATGAGTGAGCGAATCGAATTGATGATGGATTCAACTATTACTCATGGGCTTAATTACAAATTAGCCATGAGTTTGAAAACTTTTTCTCATAACTCGTTTCTACGTATCACACTAAGTAATAATGACCTAATGAAGTTGTGTGTAGAATATAATGTTTGTATAAAATATTGGTGTACAGTGAGCGACTTTATGGCCAGTAATTTTCAACTGAGGTATTTTTGAATTGTTTGTAGTGTTCAATTTCATGGCATCCAAAGGAGTTTCTGTGGCGAGGCTACCTTCTAGCTGATCGTTTACTTTTCCAATTAAGATTTAGGAATTATGCTAGTGGAGTAAAAATCGTTATCGTATATGCTGAGAATTCAATACCGATAGTTCATCTTTAGTCTTTCAAAAAGTACACTTGGATTGGACATATTGTACATGGTTCATCACGAAGTAACTATGGCTATACAGTCATGGTGAATTATATAAATGTTCATAAACCAAATGAGTATTCAATGATTGACTTGAGACTTACAAAATATAATGAATATAAGTTTACTTTAGTAATAAATATGGTATACAGTTAAAATAACTTACAAACAACAAGGTAAATGATGAAGCAGTCTACAAGTGGCACCTGGTTTACCAAGATTCATGCTATAGTATAATAACTTTCCGTAGACTGCAGTTACTAATTCGGCAATTCGATATATTCTTTGAATACCGAGCCATGGATCCGGAATCTGTAAAATTATAATGGAGATATTTCGATTTTAATGTGCGTACATAACACACAACTTTAATTAATATCTCATTATTAGTAATGACTAGAAGATAAAGACGAATATGATTGGAAAACATATAAGTGATGTGTCCCAAGAGTTCATTTTCTGTTGTGTAAAAAGCTTATAAAAAACCTCATCACATAATATCGACAACCTTTTGATCAGTAACTGTGTATTTTGTCTATTCATTTGATTACGTCCCTCAGTTAGCCCTAAACAATCTAAGGTATGGCGCAAATATGTGCCACACTTATCATTGGCACAACAAGAGGATAGTATTAGAATGCAAACTAAAGGAGTCAAATTAATAGTGGTAATGGTAGTAAAAACGACAAAAATAAGGCTCGAAAATCAGATAATGTTAAACCTAACACTTAATGGGAAATAAAGAAAGAATACAAGTGGGGGACATTGAAACTGATTTTCAGCCATATCTTCAACCAGAGATTACAACTGCCACGCAAATCAGTACCAGGAAGCCTTCATCTTCATACAGTTCAGTTCATCAGTCAACAACTTTGCGAACTGAGGAGATGTCTTGGAGTGAAGTTCTATACATTTTTCCCAATCTACTATTTTAGCCACATATATATCGGTGTAAGCGAGGGGTAAAAAACATGAAATATGATTTATTTGTCTCAGTTGACAAAATTGGCTGTTCTAAAATCTATCGAAAAGTAAATATCCAACCGACAAATTCTCAATCAACCTGTGATAACGCTCTATTTCCTTTACTTAATCTTATGAAGAATCATTTAGTCACTCAGTAACAACGTAGAACTTCGTACGAACGTACATCAGTTCGAGTTGCCACACCATATTAGCACAGAGATGCAGTGGTCGATTCAAATCCCGTAGTGCTAGATGTAGTAAGGTTATAAGCTGTAATCAGAAAAAAAGGGTTTGAAGATGTTATTCAAGGACTATAATCCAGTGAAATAAATCTGGGAAGAGAAAAAAGAGAGGGACATGAAGAAATCAGACGATCAGATTTTGGAACAACACAAAGAGTGGATGCACCTGCGTCATTGCAAACGATTTTGAGCCATGCCATTCAGGGTCTCTAACGGTCGGTTGCTATCATCTCGTGGTCCCCAACCAGGTAGTCTACACCTACCAACATGACTCAGTCCACTTGTCAGTGACTTCATGGACCTGTGCCATGTTTTGGTCTGGCCACCCCTACCTTTCTTCCAACCTACTCCTATACCACTGAACATCACTCGTCTAGACAGTCGGTGGTCGGACATGCGTAACACGTCCCAGCCATCTCCAGTGATGAAGTTTCATCACTTCATCAATCGATTTGCCATCCTTACCTAGTACCCTTTCCCTAACAACTACATTACTTACTCGATGGTCCCACGATATACGAGCAATGTTTCGAAGACACCTATGATCCAATACTAGTAGCTTATGAATATCCTCTACTCTTACCGGCCATGTTTCACTGCCATAAAGTAGGACGGAACGAACTGCTGCACAGTAAACACGTCCTTTGGTTGATAGACGGATATCTCGAAAACGCCATAAATGACACAAGTTGGTAAAAGCTAGTCGAGCCTTCTGTATCCGTGCTGAGATTTCGTCACACCAGACCACAATGGCTGATGAGACTTCCAAGATAAATGAAGCGATCGGCACGCTCAATTATTTCACTCACTATCATTAGTTCAGCTGTCGAGGCAACTCAATCCTGAAACAACATTTTGCATTTCGAGGGGGAGAATCGCATCCTGAACATGCTTGCACTGTTGCTTATGGTGGTCAGAAGACTCTACATTTTGTCACAGTCCTCACCAAACAGAACTATATCATCGGCATATTCCAAGTCAACAAGTGAACCTCCCGGTAGAAGTTCAACCCCTGGAAATATAGACGAGGAAAGTGTTATTTCTAAAAGTACGCCAACGACAAAGTTAAACAAGAATGGAGGGAGTGGACAGCCCTGACCAACACCACTTGAGGTAATCAATTCTGATGAAAGTTCGCCATAAGCTCTCACTCAAGCAGTTGTGTTCGAGTAGAGAGCCTTTACAAGGTTAATGTACTTCTTTGGTACTCCTTTCAGTGACAAACACTGCCATAGAACCTCATGATCAACAGAGTCGAATGCCGCCTTAAGTCCGAGAAATACTACCATTGCGGGGCGTCTGAATGTGTGTCTGTGTTCTAGGACTTGACGCAGTATGAATATCTGGCCTATACGGCCACGTTCTGGTCGTAAACCAACCTGACTTTCTCTAGTCTGCTCTTCAAAAGCTTAGTTTCGGTGTCAAATTATTATTGAGACTAATATTTTAGACACTATATTTGTCAAACTGATTCCTCTGTGAGTGTCACAAGAGGACTTTTGTCTTGTCTTAATAACTGGCATAGTCAGTGATTGAGACCAGTCAGATGGGATTACGTCCAGTTCCCAAATTCTACCTAAGACCTCAGTTAATTTCACTGCTAATACTGAACCACCATCCTTAAAAACTTCAGGAGTAAACCTGACAGGGCCTGTTGCTCTCTCTCGCTTCAGATTTCCTGTAGCTTTTTCAACTTCGTAAAGAGTTGAAGCACTTGCATCAATTTGCCATTTAGGTTGATTGGAGATCGTGGGAAACCGAAGTGTGGCTGAAGGCCAGTTGAACTGATCCCTGAAGTGTTCTGCCCATCGATCCAATCTCCTGGATTGAGAATGTATAATATGTCCATCTTTCTCTGACACTGCTTCTCTAACAGTCGGTTTCCTAATACCGGTTCCCTTAACAAGTCTGAACAATTGTCTGCTATTACCTATTGCCGCTGCCTTTTCCATCTCTCTTGCTTTCGCTACCCACCACTGTTCACGATCATTTCGTAGACTTCTTCTCAGCTTGCGCTTAAGCTGACTCCGCTCTTCGCTATGTTCAGAGCCAGGTGGGATGAGTTTCCGAGCATCTATCAGTGTGATAGATGCTGCTGAGATCCAGTGTTGCTCCCTGACTTTACGGGTTACCGTACTAGCAGATATCATTGCTGTTTCCACAGCTTTTCGGATATCATTCCATGCTGCCTCGGGGTGGGCATCACATATATGGCTGCCTAACTGCTTTCCTAGTTGTTCCTGAAATATACTCTCAGCTTGACTATCATTAAATAGGGCCCTAAAAGGTTTACTTTCAGCGTCTTTCCTACGTCCAGTAAGACGCAGACAGATACGCACTCGTACTAGAGCATGATCTGAATCTAAGCATGTGCTTTAGAATGAGCGACAGTCTTCTATCAAGCCCCTCCATCGGTGGCTGATAGCAATGTGATCTATTTGGGTCCAACGTTGGGACGAATTAGGTGGTCGCCATGTTAAAAGATGTTTTCCTTATGCTTAAAGTTAGTATTTGCAAGAAACAGGCGGTTATCTGAGCATAGCTGCAACAGACGGTCGCCATTATCTGTTCTTTGAGCCACGACACCATAAGATCCACCTGGGTGTCTTTCCCTATCGCTTAGTTTACCTACTTGAGCATCAAAGTCACCGGCCATTATTACTACATCCGAGCGCCTAACTTTTCTGTAAAACTCATCTGCGCTGCAGTCAGTGGGAGAATAGGCAGAGACGACGAAGAGGCGACGACGAGTGTCCCTATCTTTCCGGATCCTTACTGTTCCGTTTAGTCAGACAGCGCACAAACGACTGTCTACTGGGATCCACTCCAAGAGAGCTAGTTCTGCCCTAGAACTCAATACTATACCTACGCCGGCGAGGCCACGGGAAGCAGAATCCGGGCTTCCAGATACACGAAGTGTGAGTCGAGTCGGTTCTTTATTTTGGTATGGTGAGGTCAGATGAATGACGCTACTCGGATCCTGTATGCGCGTTTCGGAGACGCAGCACACATCGATGGCGCGAGATACTAAAGTCCTGGCTAACGAAGCCTGCTGTCTTATTTGGCACAGTGTTCGGACGTTAAAAGCTCCTACGTGTAGTTTAGAGCGTGGTTTCAGGAGACCAGGAATAGCGTTCCGCGTACTCGAACCGTTTTTCCTAGCGGTGCGAGGTGATAAAGAGACGTGAGGAGGGTTAGTCATGGGGATAAGAGAGGTATTAGGAGGTGTAGGAAGGATTTGAATGTGACCAACTTGGTTTCGTGTGCTGTTACGGGTATGAGGGCTGGTATCACTTCCAGGCTGCCCACACCGTGGAAGGGTATTTCTTGAGGAACCTGAAAAGGAAATTGGATTAGTGTTGGTCTTAACGACCTGGGAGCGTGACTGCAGAGCCAAAAGGACAACTGCTTGAGACCGGTCGCGCACGGCCTTTTCGTGGAAGGTTTGTAATGTGTTAGCTCCGTTCTTCAAAGGGCCTTAACGGAAATCCGTGAGGTAAGGTGAGGTGTGACATTTTTAGGGTCGACCTTTTCTAACCCCACTCCTCCTTGTGGGAAGGCAGCATCGCTGCAGATGCTAGTTGTCCGAGGGAAACACCTTACTGCTATCACAGCCCACTACAGTCAGCAGTACGACTTCGCCCTCAGACCTTGAGTTGCTGCTTTTATTCTTACCGTTCTCCAATCGAAATGCCTGGCATGGTAGAACCTACAGGAACATATGTTCCAGCCAATATAGCTCGGTTGGGTCATCACGATAGGCAAGCCCGACCACCGCCTCAAGGTAGCAGCTTCGGTCATTAACAATTTACGATTTATAAACTGAGATCACCATTTGAAAAATAGTGAACATATATATTAAGTTTTAAACTCGATAGGTAAAGATTTATGTAAGCACACTCTTACGTAGTACTGAGATTTCAAATGGCAATCAAAGTACCAACCACTTTCAGAATTCTGTGACAGGACGTGAATAAGATTCACCGCGTAAGAATAAATGATATTGTTTGACAGCAGAATGAGAACTAAGAACAGTTAGTCGGTCGTACGCTAAGTAGAGTCTAAGACATACGTTTGTCGGTTCTCGTCGCCACACCACATTAGCACAGCAGAATGAAATTGTTACGACGAATTTCAGAACAGAAGACGTAGCAGAAGAATCATCAGTAGTATAAAACACTAAGCAAGAGATACACCACACTAGGAGAAAATATTGATTGGTGGAATGAGAAAAAACTATAAAATAATAGAGAAACTTAAGATCCAGAGGGAAACAAAATGAATGCCCCTAAGCCACTGCAAATTATTCTGAAACACGTCACTTAAAGCCTTTAACTACTGTCTAATAATGATCGGACTGAGCCCCGTCAGGTAGTTTGCACCTACCTACATGACAGCCCAACAAACACTGTTTTTGTAGATTGATGCCACGTCTTCCTTTGACCACTCCTGGCTTTTTTCTAACCTATCCTATACTGACCATCATCACCCAAACATCTCAGTTGATAAAGATTTACTGCTTCATTAATCGACTTGCCTAACATCAGCATTGCTCACTCAATAGTACCACCGTACATGAACAATGTTTGTAAAGAAGCTACGATCAAATAGTAGCATCCCCTATATTTCAAGATAATAGAGTAGAATAGAACGAACTCCTGTGTAGTAACCTCGTTCTTTGACTGGGAGATAGATGTCTTGCTCACGTCACAAGTGGCACGAGTTTTCGAAAACCAACCAAGCTTACTGAATCAGTGTCAAAACTTTGTTATACGCTAAGCTACTAGAGATAATAAGACTTCCAAAATAAGTGAAGTGATCGACACTTTCAATTACTTTAGCCCCTATCATCAGTTCAGGAGCTGATGCACACCAGTCCTGAAATAATATTTCGCAATTAGTGGGAGAGAAACGCATCTCAAGCTTGCTTGTATCGTTGCTTAAAGTGATCACAAGAATAAATTTTGTTAGCATCTTCACCAAGCACAAATGAATCATATGCGTAAGAGCAGCTGAACTTTTATTTTACTGTGAATAGCATTGATTACTGATATTTGGTTTAGAAGACAGTGTTTTTATCTTCCCATTCATCCCTAATTAGTGATCCTGGAAAAACATGAAGAATAAGCAAAGCTTATTTAGGTCTATCTTGAATATAAAAATGAGAGAGATCTATTGACGAATAACCAACTAAATGGTTAGTATATCATGAAAACGATTTTAATTCAGAGGTAGCCTGGCAACATTTCCAGTGTTTTAAAGACAATAGTCATATCTGACGTTATTAAAACTTTTTGACAAACACTAACACTTGTATGATATTTACAGATTATTTCTAATATAATTTTCACACACAATGTCTTCTTTATACTCGGCACCCAATTTTTGTTAAACTGTTTTAACATTGACGAATATTCGTATAAAAAAGTAATGTTACCAGAATCGAAAATAGTGACTTGGAAGCCGATAATTAACAAAGTTGGAATCTATCTGTTCATTTATTCGTAAAGGATTTATTGAGTATTCAATTATCCATTTCGACATATCACAGGCTTCAAACTTTGTTTTGTTAGCATTTCTTTGGACAAAAAGTGAGTATAGGACAAAACGTTCGATTTTAACTTTTATCAACTATTATCAGTCGGTTGAGATTACTGTTGACTTTTATTCTGTTAAAATCATTGTATGATGGTTAGGTTTACACGTATTGTATAAATTAGGGGTTGATTATTCAATTTAAGGATAGACAAGCACTCTCCAATTCATTGCTGAGCTACCTTATTATAATGCTATTGATTTGGATTGGATTGTTCAGTAGAACATTACGTTATTTAAGTTGATCATTCTGTGATAACAATATTATTTTGTCCCCTTCATTCAATACATTAAATGATAAGTTACGATCACCCATTTTTACAGCTATTTAATTTAACATATGCTATGCTGAGGAACCCTCTACTAGGATGAAACAGTTGCCCTGTGTTCCTTGTTTCTCACTGATTGTTTGGTTAAGGTCAGTCCATGATCCAAACGAACTTTAAATTGGATAGCTTCTCCAAATCTTCACTTCTAATTGAGTACAATTCTTTAACATAATTTACAAAACCTATTCTAGGTTGTTTGCTCTTTCCGCGTCGAAAATTTCTATTTACTGACAGAGGAATTATGGAAATTATTAATAAGTTTGTATTGGAGTGAGATTAGTCAATTTCCAAAGATGTGTTGGTACACAAATAAAACGGTTTTTTGGAATTTATAATTCAATCATGACGAACACAAACAAACTTGGGGTTTAAACTAACGAGAGTAGTTAAAGCATAAATAAGTAATATTTATAATAAAAAGTGCTGTTATAGAGAATTATTCAATAAATGATAAACCAGAAACCTGTAGTAGTTCTTAGAATATAGCCATTTAAATGATTAAAAACCACAAATGTAATAACTTAATCAATCAGGTCACAACTTATTGTTCATAACCCACTTTTACAACATTTTAAATCTTATGTATGTTTTGATGATTTGTTGACTTTAACACTACCTTAGTCAGCTTCAGTGTTAACGGAAATCGGATGTATGATATTAAATCAACACTACTTCAAAAAAACCAATTTAATGATCCTGTTGAGAATATAAATCAAATTACTTGTTTTGAAGATCGCTACAACTAGTAGCTCTTAAAGTATGCTAAACTCCCAGTTACCGATCCGCTCCTATTTTATTAATCACGACTAAATTCAGTTTCTATACCTTAATTTCGGAATGTTTACGGTGAAACAAAGGAAGCTACATGAACAGCTCAAGAACTTGTACACGTAGCTAATAAATTGATTAGAGGAATAACAAATACCACGCCAGGAATTCTTGTTAACTAATGAGTAGCATGTAACAAATTTTATTTATGGTTTGCTGGTGAGGCATATGAAATCACTTTTATTGCGATAGCAATAAAAACGGGGAATAGAACGAGATGATAAGAACTTATTTTTCAAAGAACTAATGTTCACCCAAAATACAGGTGTTATTTACAGTTTAAAAACGACCCAATATAAACAGAAATGTGAAAAAAAGACTAGGGAGTTGTAAATCAAAAACTTAACCTTTTCATTAAAATATTATATGACAAGTTAGCACAGACTACCGTAAACATAACTACTTATGGGTCTGTGATACTTACCTGGTCACCTTTCACCAAGATATCAACGTTTAAATCCGAAGGAGAAGTATCTTGATATATTAAGCTTAAAGGAATACGATGACCGGTACCAACCCACTGTTTAGTTTGCCATCGTAGAAGAAAGAGGCCTGCGACTATATCACTTGCGACTAAGTCTACATCCTTTATGTGCAAGACATGGAAAAAAGATGAGATAAAAAATAAGAACGACATCAAACTTTCTGTTTACAAAAATCCAAAACTGTGTCATATGATCAAAAATACTTTTAAGAGTGAGTTTTAAGAAAATCATCCATACCGTCGACACACAAACAGTGACATCGCCAGAAGTTGGATTGATTGACAACAAGAGGTTGTTACAAATTAAACCAGATATCAAAAGCGATAACATTAGGAAATATAAATATAAATCGTGAAAGTGAATAGGGACTGTAAAATAAAAAATTATTAGTAAAACGACCAAAAATAAGATATAGATTAATCATGTAGTGAATTAAGTAGCCGTAATACTGATAATCTACCTTTCACCATCGTCAAAGAATTAAACATCATACACTAATTATCGTTAAAAGTTTAGCTCAAAATTTTCTCAGAGGTGCTAATAATTTAACTAAAAGAGACTTGATTGATAAACACATTTATCATGGAGTGGTTAGTGGGGAATAACATCTCTATCACCATTCAAGAATTAAAGGAGATAGATAACTGAGACATTTGTGTACTTGATCAGTGTAGTTAGAATATAATGTACGTGTAGGTTATATAATGAATCCAAATTTATTATTATTAATGGCTTTATTCAATATTATATTTTGGTACAATATAGAATTCTCAGCACAGTACGATGACTTGCGCCAAATTTATGCATCGAATCTGATTAGGAGATATAGAATATACAACTTACAGCAATGTCTGTACACTCTAATCTGCGAATAAACGGTATTTGAGAATATTTAGTTTACAACTACCCTTGTATTAACCCTGTCACTGTGAATGTGACCACTAATATTCGTCTGTATATATGCCTTGAATAAGCTGATTGGACGAGAAAACGAGACGTCAAAAATCCATTATTTTCATTTCACCTGGATTTCTCAAACAATTATCATCTCAAGTATAAGTGCATCCTCGTATGAGGTTTTGGATTACTACCTGTTGTCTATATATAGCCTTTACGGATGGAGAACTAGAAGAGTACATTTAAATAGCATTTTGTCATAGACCCAACTAAAATTTTTCTTTTAGATGTGATTAGCAAAAAAAGGTTGTGTTAAAAAAGCTCCTTTATGTAGTTTTATGAAGATTTTAAAAGCATCTGAACACAACCACCATACACCCCCATCTTAATTTCTACGTGTGCACGCATCATGCAAAACATGGGAAACAGTTATTATGTCGATAAGATTGCATTGATAATCTATAACATAAAAAAGGAAATGTTCACAAATTTAAATGAACACATGATATACTTTGTATCAAAATGAGTCCTTTCAAATATTCCACTATTCATTTCTCAGGCATGAGAGATGAACAATGTCGATGGTTGAAGGACAATTAAGAAAATTTTCTAAAGTGACATGTTTTCGGTTTCTTGTCTTTTAGCGTGACCTGAGGCAACATGCAGTTACCTTCATAAACGAAAAAAGTCTGTCCTGACTAACTGTTATCCGGCTAGTAGTACAAAGTAATATTGAAATTCCATTAGTTTATTTTCAGCTTAATCGTCAAAAAATGGAAAGACAATTGGAAATGAATGATTATGAAGAAAAAAGAACTTAGAGAACTGTTTTCAATTACTTGATGAGTTTGAACTTGATATCCCAATCAAAGAGAAAACAGCGCATGTCACGAAGACAGATTGGTTAGCACTTGTTTATAGGATATTCCTGAACAGAAAGAGGTAAGTATACGAGCGTTCAAGTGTTATTTGATACACAACATACACTCTGGTTATTGATAGAAAATAACGAATGCCTAAAGAAACCACAACGTCACAATCTAAGCAAAGTCACTGTTTTTACATGAGAAATTACATTATGACACGATTCCCATGGAAAACTAAGAGCTCAAACCAGTTAAGACAGTTACGAAATACGAAGCTAGTAAATTTTTATTTACTTTGCAATATCATGGTCTTTATGTTGTGAGCTAGTAGAAGTATTTGCCTTAGAAAGTCGACGATAAATAATTAGCTATGGGCAACAGTGGTGACAAAAACTAAAACTGCCTGATGAAACGAAAACAATACTTTATTTCTTTAAACTCTGCTAATGTCATTACTTCCCTGGTACAATAACAAGTAAATAACCTGAAACTCGTTGTCTCCAAATTTTAACACATGCGAGTTTCAAACCTACACGTATCAAATCCAGTGTAAAAATAGATATTCACGCAAAACAATCAATTTAAATAATATGTTGATTGAGGTGTTTTACTATCCAGTTGTGAGTGTAAGTCGCCTTTTCATTTAAGCCAGAACTTACTTAGTTGAGAAGCAAAAATAACGTTAGAGAAATCAGTGTGTTGACTAATGTCTATGCTAATGGAAAAGTGAGGATTTAAAACTGAAGTTTAAAGGCATGTACGGACGTCAAATTGAGAGTATGTCTATTCATGGAGTGTTCCATCCGTTACTGTGATCGCATTCGAAAAATAGCGTTTCTAAGTTGAAAGTTCTTCATAAAGGACACTTTAATAATAATTTAGTTAGTGTTAAGCTAAACCTCCTGTTCCCAAGTCTAAATTCTAGTTAAAGTGAATTCTAATCGTATTTCAATGACTTGGCAACATGTGCTACATGCATACCTGTCAAAGACAGTACATCAAAATAGGCCATGTCTTACATGCTGATTCCGAGTAAAAATGGTTGAGGCACAACTAACCAAGTTGGTATAAGAAAAAATACGTGAGAACGGTTAGTAATGCAAAATGTCTTTTATCATTTTCGTATCACTATGGACAAAAAATTAGGTCCAAAACTTTATCCAGTACATAATGCCGTATCCCTGTCAGCCGTATCTAACGCTAATAATAGCGAGGGAATATACTTTAAAATTGGCCATGTTTTAGTCTGATATATATGTACCCTTTTGACTATGGTATATAATTTTTAAAGCTTCTATTTTCTGTTCATAGTCGGTGAATTTTCTTGTTGTTAGTGAAAGAAGAAAACCATCTCAATCCACCTTTTCAAATTAAACGTATAGAGATAGTATTGCTCAATCACTACATCTTCTTGAATCTTGTCATCAATTATATTTTGGAAACAAAACTGAGGAAAATGAGTGGAAACAGTGTAAATCTGTTACATGGTGTAATATTTTCCAACCTTCAGTATGCAGATCATATCGTCTTAATTACAAGATAGACAAATCTTAATCAGTTGAATAGTTTTGACAATTATGCTATGAGCCTTGGGCTGACGAAACGCAAAGGACTCGCTGTCATAGAAGTTTCAAGTGCCTTTCTATTATAGACAATTTTTTTACGACGACTGCTTAACTGTGGAAACTGTAAACCGTTCGACGGTACGTTGTACGTCAGACTTTACCAAGCCCCAATATAACCCTATATTTTCCTGTTTATCACATATAAACAACATTTTAAGTATAGGTGTTAACCGTAATCAGAGAAACGACAACCCGTCGTTAAATTTTCACATTTCTATATGCATTTATATTAGCATAATTTTTTCAAAAAAATGCTTGTTTCTAGTTAGAAACTAGAAAAGACTCATCTGATTTAAGCCATATTTGAACATGTAATTGGGTGTATTACGTATGGAAATACAAACAGAAACAGTACTTTGTCATAACACATCAACGTAGAGATAACATCTTTGTCATTTCATCTGCCAAAGACTCAAAACCATACATCAGATTTTAAAAAATGTGAGCAAATTTAAAAGTACACGAAATTCACAAGAACTCTGCACATACGTAAAATATATCTGAAAACAAAGCCGCTGCAGAAGTGATTATTGTCTTATCAGTTTGCATTGTCGACCGATCAGTTTTACAAAAAAAAAGGCGACGAAAGGCCCGTAAACATTCCAACTTCCGTTGAACAGCCTTTCTTCGCTTAAGCATCACTAACTGCTTCGTGGAAAGATTAACATTTGGATTCAGACAACCCTGCTTGAATACAGTAGGGTCGTTAGTCAATCGGCTCCAAAAGGCACCAGCCTTACGATAGTGTAACATTAGAAAAAAGTAGAAACCAATCACATGAGCTACCGCAATGGCGTTCCCTGCTATATAGCAATCAACAACCTGAAATTAGATGTATGAGTAAAAATATTTCGAAAGTTTACAAACAATTAAATAAACGGAATTTCTTTACAATATAGTAGGAGTAGAATACCAAGGATTACTTTTCCTATCAATATGGACAAGTTAAATCCATACTACTTTAAAAAAACAGAAGCAAAACTCATATATCTAAAATACCTCATGCAATTACATTTAAAACCCTCCGAAAACGACCGTTACTTAACACAATATATGTTTACATCGTTGTACTGTTTTATCAACCTGGCTATCTAAATTACGATAATGCAAAAATCGAGGATCACAAAGTGGAAGGTCCTCTAAATCTGAGTAGACAGTGACAAAATAAGATAGTTAAGGGAAATGTATAAAGCTTAAACTGAAAAACCCATCAAGCACGTATAGAGTTTTCATTATGTATTCAACGCTAGTTAGTTTTTTATAAAGAATTACCTCTCAATGGTTGTCTGAGAGTTGAATGTTAGTGAGAACTCTTGGTTTATACACTATCTATGCGCTAAGTCAAAGAAAATGTGAACTATGTGTGATAATAAGGTAAGATATAGTTTTGAAGCTCCGGAATTGATTGTATACAAACATTATGTTACGATAAGGATGGAGGACTTTTTATTGAAAAGTCACATAAGTTAAATAGATATATTTCCTCTCACTTTTAAAGGTTTTTACAAGTAATAGCAATAGACACTGAGACAGTATTTTGGGACGAAAATAGGAAAATAGTTAACGTTAACTCACCTAACAATCTAATCTACCTGTAATTTATTTTTGAATACTGCCCTAAACGATTTGAAGAGGAAAGCTAAACGAGATATATCGGTTAAAATTAAAGGGATTCAAGGACTTAAAACCCATGATAATACAGTTGAATTAATCTTATGATGAGACATCTTGATAACCAAACTTATTTCCCAAATGCCGTGGTATGGCCGAGAACGGGGTGGGCCCACCACCCCTCACGAAATGTTCTCACACGGCCACGCGTATACAGCCTCTGCAAGGGAAGTCCTACTGACTACCTTCTCGTGGCGGGAATGTTGTTTACGAAAATGAGAGGAAGAAAAGCGAATATTCATCGATTCAACCGGATCCCAAACCAAATCAATGGTGCACATGGGTTCCAGTATCCTGAGGGAACAAATGGCGTATGAACCAATCGTTGGTCACCGGCTACCATGGGACTGCATCTCCTCACGATGCCCCACTGCCTTGTAGGTTAGACCTTTAGGTCGAAGGCTTCGAGTGTGGCCTCCTAAGATAACCACCTGCTTCGGTCTGGGCACCCGGGCAGTATCACAGCTCACACACAAACTGAATGAAATGACAATACTTAGGGAAAATACTATACTTGTTTCGATTAACAGTCAAACGATTCACGTTATTATTATTTACTACGTCATTTACTCACTCTCTTTTATTCCCACTTTATGTATCCTTATTTTTCGACTTATACAGAAGCTCGCCTATAGTGAAAACTCGGTTCTATCTAAACGTTCTCGAGTCACTGAGAAACGATGTCTTTTAGTCATCTCCACCTATGCCCCGACAGATTGCAGTCCGGATGCATTCAAGGATGAATTCTACCACCAGTTAACTGTTCTTCTCCAGAAAGCGCGTTCGACAGATATTGTGGTACTAGCCGGAGACTTGAATGCTCAGGTCGGGCGTCTAGGCACAGACGAGAGTCGTCCAGGCGGCTGACGGGGACTTGTTGGTCGCAGGACAGATAACGGCGACCGTCTACTGCGACTGTGCACAGACCACAACCTGTTTCTGGCTAGCACTAACTTCCGGCACAGTCATCGCCGATGTGCCACCTGGCGTCCTCCCTCTACACCTCATGCCTGGACTCAGACTGATCACATCGCGATCAGCTACCGCTGGCGTGGTTGTGTACAAGACTGCCGCTCCTTTTGGAGTACCTATCTCGACTCTGATCATGCCTTGGTCTACGCCAAAGTAAGAACCTTACTTTTCAGTGGCCAACAAAGTGACCGCCACCAATGGATTGATGTTAGCAAGCGGGTTGCAACTTTTGTTGCAAGTAAGTATCGAACCGAGCTAGCTTCTAGGCTAGCTAACATTCCACCGAAAAGTATAGATGAGCATTGGTTGCAACTTCACGACGCTATCAAAATGTAGAGTAAAGCCGCTTGCGTCCCGCTTATAAGCACTTGTTTTCTTTTGGTTCCTTACAACTCATCGAAGCCCGTCGGTCTACTCAGGATGACCGTGAGTTTGACCACAAACCCGAGAAAGATTGACTCGCGAGGAGCAGACTTTTTTTCGTTCTGGTCGAGGATGTATTGATCATATCTTCACCCTCCGCCAAATGTTAGAACACCGTCATACTTATCAAAGGCCAACAATCGTAGTGTTTCTGGACATCAGGTCTGCCTTCGATTTGTTGGATAGGACTGTTCTCTGGGATTGTTTATTGAAGAAGGGTGTGCCTGAGAAATTTATTAACATCTTAAAAGCCCTATATACAAACACCAAGCAGAGTGAGAGCATACAACCACCTTTCTCCATTGTTCCATCCAAGCAGTGGGGTTAGACAGGGTTGCCCAATCTCACCATTCCTCTTCAACTTTGCCGTCGATGACATTCTGGAAACAGCTCTGATGGATGTAGGTAATGGTGGTGTGGATCTGTTGCCTGGAGAAAGACTTCTCGACCTTGAGTATGCGGATGATATTGTCTTACTGTGAGATAATTCCCAAGCCATGCAATCCGCATTTAATCAGTTGGCAATCAGTGTCCGTAGGTATGGTATGTGTTTTGCACCTTCGAAGTGCAAAGTACTTCCACAAGACTGGCAGGATTGTAATCCTGTACTCACCCTGGATGGTGAGCAGATAGAAGTAGTCGAGAAGTTCGTGTATCCAGGTAGCTGCATAAGTCCTGATGGTGGCGTAACTGATGAGATCAATGCACGTATAGTGAAAGCCAGAGCGGCTTATGCCAATCTGGGCCACCTTTGGCGCCCTCGTGATGTTAGTCTGACTGTAAAAGGTCGGATCTACAACGCGTCGGTGAGAGCAGTTTTACTCTATGCTTGTGAAACCTGGTCTCTCCGAGTTGAGGACGTTAGACGACTCTGTGTTCGATCATCGCTGTCTCCGAAGGATTGCTGACATTCAGTGGCAACACCATGTTAGTAATGCAGAGGTTCGGCATCGTGTGTTCGGGCACAGAGACGATAATGCAATTGGTGTCACCATCTTGAAACACCGACTTCGGTGGCTTGGACATGTTCTCCGAATGTCGTCCCAGAGAATTCCACGTCGTGCATTATTTGCCGACTCTGGGACTGGTTGGAAAAAGCGGAGAGGTGGTCAGTGTATGACATGGTGTCGAGGTATGAAAGAAAGCTGCAAAGAGCTGGGTTCTGTTGGTCCTTCACGACTCCTTGGCTGGGGTCCGAGAGATGGTGCAACACAGTGGCTAGAGACGTTAACAGATATGGCTCAGAGTAGAAGCCAGTGGCGATCCTGTTGTAACCTTCTTTTACTTTCTTCATAAAAAATGGTTGTTTCTTCCTTAACTGAAAGATTTCTTCTGATTGTACCTTTCTGTTTCCCCCATTATTACTATTATTATTATTTTTATTACTATTACAGTACCTTACACTAATCTGTTCGTTATTGTTCTTTTTTTACGCTCCTTACCTTCTTTCTCTCTTCGAATTCTCATTGTTTTGTGTGGCACAAATATATTTGGTTCCCTCTTGTACCAATATTTATGTGTTCAAATAAATAAATAAATCCTAGAGCCTTGTATGACAACAAATAGTGAGCCAATATAAAAAGACATTGTAAAGACCAAAAGATATTTTTACTTAGACACTGTTTAGGTCCTTCGGAAACATAAAGAACAGAACTTATTGCCCCAATATCCTCTGGTTTTGGCAATAAGATCTTAAAAACACGAATTAAGCAACACGAAATTAGAAATATATTTTTCAGAAAGGTAAATGGTCATTTTTAAGTAGTTTACCCAAGAGTCATGCGGCTGTGCCACCAGGTATGTAGGACTACCAGTAAGAGTTCTTTCTAGAATCATTAGGAAAAGCTTTCTAACATATGCGCATCGACATCCACTTGAAACATTCAGAAGCAGTCGACTGTAATTCAAATTCTCACTGCACATTAACAAACTGTATGGACGAACATCTGATTCAAAAATCTTAGTGAAGTTGAGGCGATAATTTGACCGGAGACAAAGAGAATAGTAGAACTTAAGAGATTAATCCCACAGATTTTTAGGAACAATGGTAAGCTTAACTAGTTAAACCTTTGTTATTCGCAAACATACTTCCTGAACTATGGTTTTAGTAATTTTCTGCTATCTAGTGACAAAAATTGATAGTATTAACCACATTTTATGGCCAAGTTTACCCGTCTTTTAGAAACCATAGTATTGAGAATGTGGAAATTATCTCTAAAACGAAGAATTACACTTTAAAACTCATCTGTAGTGATGGGAAGTCTAACAAAAGTAGAATAGTTGAAAACATCGATTTAGTGAGTATAGCTCTTGATCAAATTGGTAAGCTTAGCTGAGCTTCAAGTATATTGACGTCTGCAATTGGGTAGTACTAACACCACCTACAACCCAAAGACTGGCTTAAATCTAAGTGCATGAACCCATATATCATCAGGGAAAGAGATGTTTGTTTATTTACCATATAGTCCTCTATATCTCACACTACACCTAAGAAATACAAACTCTTGATAGCAAGCAGATGCATAGTCTGCAAAAACTTGATCATAAATGAATTTGAAGTATTGGTCATGTATGATCCTAGGTGTAAATTACTAAGTAAAGGAGGTAATTCAGTGGACGAAATTCTAAACATATGTCCACGGTGGTTACAACACGTGTTGGGAAAACTTGGTCATTAGTAACCAAAGCATGTAATAAGCTGGTTTGTGTAGAAGTAGGTTAGAAAGAGGTTATGAACTGTCAGTAAAAGACATATCATTTATTTTGGAGTTGATGTCACCGTCGCAATCAGCGTACGAAGAATTTGTGTTTCAGAAGGTCAAATACATTCAATCATAGTAAATTTCGATACTGTATAGGATGAATGCGCAAATACTTTCCATTCTCTTGTTCATCTTTTAGTATTCTAATATGTGAACTTTGAAAGTGGATTAATTCACATTCGAGCAGGCAGCAAGTCCAGCTATACTAATAAACTGATTGTGATCACCATTTTTTAGCACATCACAGATTTAGACTGTGGACAGAATGTGAATAAGGTTAAAAGTTGATTTTGGGGTACATATAAGCTCCAGAAGAGTTATATCATTAAGTCATACTGAAGAGTGTTTGTCCAAAATAGTTTGATTTTACTCATTTCAGTTCACAGAGTCTGAAAACTTCTATAACACAGAATAACTGAATAAATTAACGACTCGCGCATTTTCAAGTCACTGCGATTGGATTAGTTGTTTGAGATCAAAAAACTTTCTAAGGACAGTTTTTTATTTACTTAAAACATAAGTATTTGTAGAAAAGAGAATCAAAATGAATATGTGCTACACGAATAAGACAATGAAATTTTGAAGAGATGTACAGAGCAGGAGTATAGTCAGAATAAATCAATGAAAACGAAAACGTAAGTATACAAGAACTATTTACGACAATTCTGCTGAGCAGAACACAATCAGATTGAATTCTTTCACTTAAGTATCTCACAATTATGAAAAATATGAAAGAAGACTGATGCAGGATAGCCACTGGTTTCCATTCTTAGCCAATAATAGTCTAATAAAATCTCAAAATAATGAGTTACACTCTCTTTCGGACCCCAGCAAGGGAGTCATGATGGGACATGAATTACGTATGACTATCCACCAACTATCTCGAAGTGCGATGGTAGCCAATGTACGAGCAAGTTGGAAAAGAGCTAGGAGCGGCTATGTTAAGACATCGCATCGGCTCATGAAAACAATAACTGTCGAGATGAGTCATGTGGGTAGGTGCAGACTCTCTGGCAGGGGTTCGCGTGATTATCGTAACCGATAGTTAAAGACTTTGAACGACAACTCAAAATCGTTTGCAATGATATAGGTGCATTCACTATTTGTTTTCCATTATATTTTGAATTCTTCATGTCATCTATTGCAATGTTTTATTCCCTGAATCATTGAGGTATGTGTCTACATAGTTTTTAAGATCTGCATAAGCATCCCGGGCACACCCTTCTTCATTAGACATTCACAGAGCACAACAATGCCCAACAAAAAGTACACAATGATTGTAAACCTGTAAGAGATATAGCGGCACTCTGAAATTTTGCGAAGGGTGAAAATATAACCTGACAGAATGGAAAACAGAATGCTCTTTGCGAGTCGGTTCTCAGAAGTTTTGTACAGTCTGAAAAGTATTACAGAAGCTAATAGTTTGGACGCAGCTAGAAGTAGATTTGTTACCCTATAGTTGTTGTACACATTATGCAGAGTGTAACGCTGTAGTTTTTTTCTCATTATAAAAGTGAAAAATATTCGTTTAGCTGAAAGAATTTTTCCTGGTGGTATTATTATTGTCCCAATAGTATGTCTCTAGTCATGTGGGAGACAACAATGAGCCCTATGGGGACAGACAATCAAGAAACTATTGCAGAACTTATTTGAGGAGTTATTTGGTTGACAAACTAAGACAACATAAGGAAATATAAGTTTTGCAATCAATTATATACTATAATGGTGAGTTTCCAAATAACTACTATGTTAGGGCTAACCACATGTCATTAACACATAAAATAAGCTCAGTTAACTTCGTTTCAGGGATATTTGCCGAAGAAATAATTAGGCAAACGCCCACTGAGATGACCTTAGTTTGAAGATATCTTGTGTCTACCTGATTGAGAAAATGGGTTTTAAATGGTGGCACGTGGGATAAGATAAGCCGCTAAAACTTTTAGTTTGTATATTTGTATTTTTTAGGTCAGTAGAAATACAAATTTAATTAACAAACCAACTAAGGGCCCTTTAATTGACCACTAGAGGCACGAAGAAATAATGCAAAGATAATCTTGTTTTCGCAAACTAACAGTAATATATTATTGATATTAGCATCAAATTCAAGCCACAGTATGAACACATCATGCAGGACTCACCTGTTTTTCACACAACGTGTATTTATTAACAACTAAATACAAGTTAACACAATGCAGCACTGACGATACAAAGGAAAATATGCAAACTGCCCCGAGGTAAAAAGGGACAGGTGAACGCAAACTGGTTTCCATCACTCCACCTTTGCTGCTTGAAAATGATAGTGCTGCGTCAAAAATCAGTAAAGCTCCCATTATAAGAAACAGAAGCACACAGAAAATCTGCACAGAAAATTAATATAAATCAATATATATATACCTTGTCTATTACATTTGGAAGACAAACAGTTGGATCGTTGGCTATCGTGAGCGGCATAACCATGATGAAAACGCTATGTGAATCAACTATCAGACAGGACACTTACCACAATATCCTCAATAAAAAGTTAACAATACCAGTACAAACAAAGTCGTCGGACGCGAAAGACCATGTCCTACCCAAGAAAGTCAACGCAGGCATGTCGAAAAAAATATGCAAGATTTTCTAGACCACTTGTAGAGAAATGAAGTGATTAATATGACATGGTGACTAGTAACATAAAGGAATTAACAGTCCTAAGACAGGTGACCTAGACGAACCAAATATTCCGCCCATTTGCAAATAGTTTAAATGCTTGTGGAGGGAATGGAAGAAAATTTCGTTTAACATGCTCTAACATCTAGTGACACTGGATCGCTGATTTCTTCGGGTACTGGCCTAAGTGTATTTAACAGGCAGACGAGCAATATCAAAACTTTATCCACACAGCTGGTCCACGTCTAATTAAGGATACTAACTCACTTAAGCCTGTTCAGTATGTGGGAACAAAACTAGTGAAGGATATTTGAAAACCTCTTACTAAGAGCGCTTAAAACGCCTAAACCTTTACGCCTTGTCACATCGTTGGACTCTAAGTGACCTCATATAGGCATTTCGTATACCTAATAATGATTTGGGTGCTAATATGTCTAATCATTTTTCCTTCTCCAGCACTAATAATCTCTGGGGCCATAGCAAGATGGTTCACAAACCGCAGTCGAATAAGCTTAACATGGGGTTCCGTTTTTCTCATCGAGTGGCCAATCATTAGGACACCTTACCCGAAAATGTGACATCAGCCGCACCACTGAACATCTTTAAGGAGACGCTGGCCCTTCACTAGAGATCAAACTGTCAGGGTTAACACATGTTCAACAAACCACTATCCTTATTATGGAAGATCAAGTTTGGATAGACACTAGTTTATGCAATAGAGTGAAGTGCAAATTCATTTTTGTTTTGTTTGTTTGAATTTTCCCATTAATGTTTAGGACTGCAATGAAAGACTGATCAGTTGTAGGAAGACTCAAACAAACAATAGGAAATGAATTTGCACTTCACTTCATTGCACAAACTAGTGTCTATCTGGACTCAGTAACTAAGAGGATAACGCCATAGCTTTTGAAGCGAATGGCAGTGGGTTGGAGTCACGGAGTGAGCATCAACTCTGTGATGGAGGTACATCCGGCTTACATATCCCAAATAGGACGAAAAGCACGTTCTGAACTCCGCTACAAGTCACTATCATTTCAGACGATATTTGTTGTGGAACACAAAACGAGATCTTAGTACTGGATTCTAAGAGACCTCGGTGAGATATTCGGTAGCCTGAGCAAAAGTAAAATATATCCTAACTTAAAAGGTTGATTTTTTTTATTAACGTAAACCGGTCGTTTGATGGTAACTTGACCCCTATGCGTTTTAGATCACTGATGAGACATGTATGGTTGCACCTATCTAAAACTTCTGAGAGATCATTATATATTACATCCACATTCACCCTGTGATCAGAGATGATTTTCCATCTGTCCGAAGCAGTCAAGAGAGAAGTTTATCAATCACGAGCAGTCTCGTAAAGCTTAGAATATCAAAGACTCCATTACCTTTTAGGACACTGAATGAAGTGCTACCGACCGGTAGCTTAAGGTTCATCGCATTCGCTTTCTTTAAAAGTTGGCGTGATATGTGCCAGCTTTTAATTACCTGGGAGTGCGCCACCACTTAATGATTATTAGATAATTTCTTCTAGGGGTGCTGCCAGGACTGAAAGTGCCTTTGTCATTATAACGGAGCAAACCACGTGAAGTGTCAAAATATAGACACTGTAGTTTTAATAACAATGACGATATATTCTTAAATAACGATATGTTACATGAGGCATGCTAGTTCATAGTCAGGACAATTTTGTTAGAAATGGTATAGGATTCACTGTAATGAGTTATTCAGTTGGGCTGATATGCCATAAGACAGATTGATCATAGAAACAGGGGAGCAAACTTTGTATATTAGATACTGGGTGTTTAATATAACAGTTGTCACGCTGTGAAGAGCAACTGGTAGTCGAGAATGAATTCAACTAAATTTCAGAGCTGTTTACAACGACAAATAATGCAGTAAATGTATAAAATCAGTTAAAAACGTCAACTTTAATGTATTTTTTGTTTTCCAATTGTGTTCTCAGATAACTAACGTAGGCTTCAATCAAGGATCAGAACGGATTCATATGTTCCGTACATGTGTTTTTGGTGATATGCCACGAGGCAGCTGAGAAAGGGGTAACAAGAAGAGTAAAAAGTAGAACATATAGTCTTCGTGACTGATAAAGCTAAGTCATTTGTGATGAAATAATTAAGAGGTGAATATTTAGACTTATTTTCTTTTATTAGGTCGTCCTTTAAGCAGGTTTGTTTCAAGAATTTAAAAGAAAATAGACCAAAGAATGGCCCTAAATGGTCAAAAGTCTGTACAGACAGACAGGCATTAAAAGAGCTGAAAGTTTTAATCCATGTGTATCTTCCAAATATAGTAAGAACAGCAGTGTTGAATAAATAAATGGCTATTTTGTTGAAATTATCATAACTCGTTTCTATTATTATAACTTTTATAGAGAAATGAGTTGACTTGCTTGTCCATTTTGCTAAAAGTAGGATTTCTTAGTAAGGAGTGAAACCAATCAAGTTTACAAACATGGGTCAAATAGGTATTTCCCATAGGGAATTGGCATCAGTATCATTGGTTAATGATATCCCGCTTGACCACAAGGAGCCGTAATTAAGCAAAATGTTCTGCCCTGCAGACTTGAGTAGATTGAGGTTATCTTGGATGTTATGAGCTACTTTCGATCGGCCATGGCTGAGCAGCACGTATGGGGTTAGTGTGTTATCTGAAGTAGAAAGTGAAAAAAGTACGTGAGACTTCGAGGAAAAGTCATGAGATTTTAAACAAACGCGAAACCCCTAAATTGGTTTGAGGGCACGACTAGTGATGAATGGTAAGAAAGGAGAAACCACGTGTTCTGTCATTCCGCTATCCATGAATGAATGTCAATGATGGTTTCATAAAGTGTTTCATGGGTGGGTGGGAGTTCTGGGAATAGTTGGTGAAGCTCTTTATGGTCTAAAAATAGGGTAATTAGTCTGATGATGTCACAGGTATTCAGTGTTTGACAACGCTTCTACCAGTAACACCTTCTAATATATTTCGTTCCCGCCCAGAGGAATCAAAAGACAGAGTCGAGGAGATCGGAAGAATATATTTGGCGATGACCAATATATCGGAATTCTCTGATCTAATCTGGCTAGCGATTGTGGTAGATGTTGAGCACGGCGTTACCACACGTGATCTGGTGCGGATGCATGACCGAGCGCCTTCAGCTAGATGAGTCCACTAAAACATATGGTCAGCATCCAATGTCGAAAACTTACAGAGCTATTTATTTTGAGGATTTATTTACCGCTACAAGTCTTTCGAACGTAGCGATAACATCATAGTTGTGGGTGCGTATTGGCGGTCCGTTGCACAACAAACTATAACACACTGTAAAAAACATACAACGCATCGGTTTTTCGGTGTTTTACAGCTATTAGTGTATATGTTTTATTTCTAAGTCTTTAGGCAGAGTCATGGATAACAATTTGACTGGAGGTTAGAAATGACAGACTGAATAATAAACAACTTGCTGAAAAATATTAGATTGTTTCTTAGTTGATGACAGCGTGTAGATTCTACTTAGTTTGTGAAATTTTTGGTTTCGGCCTAGTTTTATCTTACTGACGGGAACATTGTGTTGATCTTGGTGTATATGGACATCGTACATTTTGTATAATCCAGTAGGCTTAGAGGTTGTCACACCTAAATTCAGGCAGTCATAGTCATATTTGTGGACAAGGAACGTAGAGTTCTGAAGATGAAGGTTTGACTTTGTCAAGTACTGATTCCTTAGACTCAGACTTCGACCTCTTGGCTGGTTTAAAAGTAGGTGATATTTCCCTTTTTACTGGAATTACTAGTCACAATAAAAAGCTGAGTGAGTAAAGAGCTCGTTAAATGGAGAGAGTACATAAATATGTAGTTACTGTTGATTGGTAAACGTGTTAATAATAAAGTCAGTGACTTGATATACGGATGGTTTAATACATCAAGCGTTAAGTTGTCAACAAATAGTACATAATAATATATTTCTGTCGGGGCAGGTACATGCAATTTCTACTAACATTACCTTTAGCTTACGACATTGATTTACACATAAGAGGTCTCTCAAGTAGAGAATTTTCCCAATCATCCCATGTTCAACTCCGAACATCGTTTGGTTATTATTATTATTATTATTATTATTATTCACAAACATCTTATGGGTACATAAGTGTTGTGAAGAAACCATTTCGGGTTTCTTCAGAAAATGCAATAATACACAATTTTCAATAATGTTAGCATTATACTTGCCATATTTAAAAAAAATAATAATAAAAATAAAATAGAAAATTGAGAATAATAATAGTAGAATATTAATAATAATAAATGGGGTCTTTGTAATTGAGAAGAATATTGAATTGGGTTTAAAGAAGGAAATGGAGAAAATAAGGAAATAGAAATAAAGGAGACATGAAATACGCAAACAGTCTAATAGGCGTGTTTATAAACACAGAACAAGAATAAACGACTATGTGTGTATCGTTAAATTAGTAACAAAAAATAATTAAGAAAAAATAACTTATAATTGCAGTAAGATATGGCGCTAGAATATAAATGTTTGTGCAGTCACATAGTTTGGAGTGATGCTATGAAAGTCTCAATTAAATGAAAAAGATAATAAAATATCAATATGTATGAGTAGTCATATATACATAGTGAAGATAAAACACAAGTTATTGTCTTAATTAAAAACTTCGTCATCTTAAGAATAATATTTATTTAGAGGGAAAGGAGAGAGAAAAGAAGTGAACACCTAGTGAAAAGTTTCATTCAGGATAAGAATAATAATTGTGTAATGAATATCAACCTCAGAAGGAAACCAACAATTTAGAAAAATGAAATAAAAATCCTCCAAAGCACTCGGATAAATACATTTAGACTTATGTAATAGTATACATAGTGAAAGCGAACATTAGTATAAACAATTGTTCAATAATAATTACGATTGATGCTATGAAAGTCATAATTGATTTCAAAGGACAATCTGGAGTTAAATATGTTTAGAAGGGTAAGAAGATACAAAAAGAATATCTAATGTGTCGGGGAACTGATAATGATATTAATAACGGTAATAATGATAAACACGAACATAATCAGACTTCATATATTAAGATAAAGAGA